ACTAAGGTCTAGTTGAGCAGAACGTAGAATTGGGTTTGTGGAGTGCTGACACCTGGCGCCCGTCCCGGGCAGCTCGCCCTTGTTTTCCCCCTCCCTTCTCCTCGTTCCTCTGCCTCTTGTTGGCTGCGTGGGAGCGTGGGAGGCACGTGGGGCTCCCGGCAGAGCCTGGCCTGCCCCTTCTGCCCGCTATGCATCTGGCCAAGCGTCCTCCTTACGGGTCTCCTGCCCTGCATGTGATTCTCATCGAGGGACACCTGTGAGTGGGTAGCAGCACTTCCAAGCTGGGGGCCAGTGGAGGCTTCGGCCTCTGGGTCGTGCTCTCCCCGTAGCGGCCCTGGCCTCTCCTGGTGTCCAGGGAGGGGGATACCCTGGAAGAATAAATCGCCAGCAAAGCCCCAGCGCCTGCGGCCTGCTTTGCTTGGTGCACGGACACGCGGGGACTCTCCCGCTCCTGGACCGTGGCGCTGGGCAGGGCAGGGCTGACTGGGCCCCCCCGGGCTGGTGATGATACGGAGCTGGTCTGGTTTCTCATTCACTGCTTTCTGAGATGGGCCTGGGAAGGTTCTTGCACAGACAGAGTCCCTGGGCACAGAGACACAGCCAAGTTTCTATGCGTCTCTTCAGAGACATCTACTGAGATTTCCCATGGGCCTGGATTCGCCTTTTGGCCTCCAGGAGCCCAGCCAGGACACCACGGCTCTTCCAGATGGGCCTGGCGGCCATCATTGACGTCAGACCGTGAAGATGTGACCGCATGCTCTGCCCTCCCTCTGGCCCCCCGCGGTTGGCCCTGGAGTGATGAGAGTCCCAGCCAGCAGGGAAGCAGCGTCTGTCCCACTACCGAACACCGAGCTCTGTAGGATCAGAACCGACTCGTCGTCTCCTGGGCGGGTGAGGCCAGTGGGGCAAAAGGACTGATCTCCGTAGCCGGGTGATTGCTGCCGACCAGAACCTTCTGGGAGCCTGGGTTCAGGGGGATGCTGAAGCTTCTTCTGGGGCACGGGTTTGGGACTGGGGGGTGGGGTGTAGGGCCAGGGATTGGAGGGAGGGGTTTCTTTCTCACTGGCTGCTGGTGTTCATGGCGTCCGGGCGGGGAAGGGATCCTTACGGAGATGCCGGTTAGTCTCAGGCTGCTTTAGAAGTTTCCAGGTTTTTTAAATTTTTTTTTTTTTAATTTTTTTTTTTTCAACGTTTATTTTTTTTTTTGGGACAGAGAGAGAGCATGAATGGGGGAGGGGCAGAGAGAGAGGGAGACACAGAATCGGAAACAGGCTCCAGGCTCTGAGCCATCAGCCCAGAGCCTGACGCGGGGCTCGAACTCACGGACCGTGAGATCGTGACCTGGCTGAAGTCGGACGCTTAACCGACTGCGCCACCCAGGCGCCCCTAAATTTTTTTTATTTAAGAAGGTTTGTGGTGTTCAGATCCTGTCCCTGTCCTGGGTTTTGTTGTTCCTTTTCCAAACAGCTACCTCTCAGCTTCCCAAGCCTTCATATTGTTGGAGTCGTTCCTTCAGGAGAAAAAGCATTCGTTCATTCATTCGTTCACCCATCCACTCACCCACCCACCATCTGTTCACACGCCCATCATCGTATCCACTCACCACTCGCCCGCCCCCCGCTCACACATCCGTCTACCATCCCCCTGTGTACCCAGCACTTAATTTACGGCACGTTTGTGGAGCACCCGCCGTACCAGAGAAGTTGCATGGCCTTTGCCCTCCAAGGGGGAGCCCAGATTAGCTGTTGTGCCATCAGTGGTAGAAGAAAGGAGAAGGTGAAAACCCTGGGACTTCCCCAGGAGCTGCCCGGCCCTGGCCCATCTCTCAGCCGCGACACCAGGAGGATTTCCTCCGCGATCGTGCCCTAGGGTGGGTCACGCACAGTGAATGCACGGCCCGTGTTGCTGAGGGAAGCGCTGAACCCCTCTCTCCGGGGATACCGCTCGGAGCTGGGGCTGATTCCCACGATCTTCCC